CACATGGTTGCCTGCTTGTCAAGATGGCATCAAAAACAGTGTAAAGACCTACATGTATTTGATAACCTTAAATCTGGAAATTGTTTTAGAAAAGCCTGGAAAAAGTCTGGAATTTTGGGTCCAAAAGTCTGTACAAACCCTGTGTTCACAGTAGTCCAGAGTTCAATTCATCATCATCATCATCATCCTTGTTTACTTATTTACTTTGGTTCATTTTTTATATAATAAAAATTATACCCACAAATAAATGCATGCATGTAAATTGGTCAAAAAAACCCTGCTTAACACATTTTATAAAAATTTCTTGTTCCAACCCAAAAATCCTCCACCTTTTTCAACTAACTTTAAAGCCTGCCTTTTATTGTTCTGTTGTGATCTGAAAAATAATCTAGTTTAATAACAAAGTATTATCAGAAAGGAAAGACTGTCTCTTAAGGTATCTGCACAGGCAAATTTTGCACACTTTTGCATCATTTTTAGTGGTTGTTTTATGGATAATATCTATGTCACTATATTGACGGTATTCCTCAGTTCTTGAGGAACTAGAATATATCAAAATAAACTATGTTATGTCACCCAAAAGGTGTTAATTTAATTACCCCCTAGGGTGGCACGGAAAGAGAAAAATCAAAATTTCAGAAGAATCCTTAGAGTTATTGTTAAAAAAGAAATGTAACACAAATAAGGACGTAAGATAGAATAATTCTGTGTTTGACCACGACACAGCTCCAATTAATCCGGCCTCTAGGGCACAATTTGCTATTTTGTAATTTGACCCATATTTTGACATCAATAACTCAGCTGTACGGCAATTCTAACCTTTAGTCAAACACAGATCTGTTCATTAACATGCTGTTTGTGTATTTGCCAAATTTCACGAAGTAATAATGATCCATTCCTCCAAAAAACTGGTTCCCGTAAGTCAAGGTAAATCGGTCACGCGGTAATTAACGCTTTTCCAGTGTGAAAAAGCTTATTTTCTTCTCAAAATCAACTGTTTTTCCTCGATACTACCATCACAGACCTTCTTGCCCGCCATTTTGAATCACCGCTGTGTAAAATGCTCGTGGAAGCCTAAGAAAATGCCAAATGACCTCTCTATAGCCCCCTTGGATTTTGATACGTGACCAGTTGCTAGGTGTGACGCATTTCCGGAAGATGCGTTACTCAGTGTCAGCTTTAATGCAGTGAAGCGCGCCGAAGTATGAAGATTGAAGAAGAGTTTTATTCAAAATTAAAAAGAATTGCTTCTGTAAAGTGAAAGAAATTGGCAGAAAAACAGACCAGAGGATTAGGGGCCAAGAAAACGTTTTACTCTCCCGGCAAAATTGTCAGAAAATATCAGGTGAGAAGACACACCGATGTAATGTAAATTTAAAACAATAATAAGCCCTGGAAAACGGAGTGTATTTCAAGAACATAACAAATTTTGACAAGAAGCAAGTAATATTAGTCATCACAGCTTTAACAGAAGCAAGAAAAATCAAGTTGGACACACAGCGGCTGTAGTTTGTCAATGAATCCAAGCAGTGAATAGATTTTGCTCAGCGCATCAATAGAACTTGATGATGGAAAGAGGAGTCAAATTGCGCTCCTGCCGTCCTTTTCCTTAGTAACGGAAATGAAAATTTTTCTTTAACTTCCGGTAAATCAGTCAACTTTTGAGTAGATTTTCTCTTAAATGCCAAGGTATATTCAAAAAAGAACACCAGATATGCATATTACATCATCTGAACTTACTGTAGAAAGATTTTGAGGGCAAAATAAAATGTTGAAAATTTGCCTGTGCAAATACCTTAAGAATTATACAAACATTAAATTAAGCATTTGCACACATATTGATGTGAATAATGAAAACGGAGGAGTGTTGGTGTTTTGGTATCAGCTCATGAACTTTTAGGATAGGAATTCTTAAAATGTTTGACTATTTGTAGCACAAGAAGTCAAAGAAAGATACCACAGAAGAACAAGGCTCATCAGAATCTGTAAGTGTCGTAAGGAAATGGTTTTAATAATGTTCTGTCACATACATGTATAAACTATTTTCTAAGTTAGTACATGGTTGCTGATAATCAGTAAACTGGATATCACCTGTTTTTTGTATAACTGTGAAAGGTTTGAACCCAGGAGTCATTTGATAAGTGGGTTGAGTATGATCGTCCGGGTGAATGTAGTCCTGAATAGGACTGTAGTCTGTTGTTGTTGACAGTGACTGGCGTTTTGACAACCTTTGCGGTAGTTATCTTCAGAGTCAAAGTGAGTTGTATCATGTCAGTTGATGGTATTAAACTCTGGTTATTGACCTGACTGGTCAATTAACTGACAGACGACTAATAACATCGCAACTTAGTTGACCAATCAGGTCAATAACCAGAGTTTAATACCATCAACTGACGTGATACAACTCACTTGACTCCAAAGATGAGTACTGCACAGGTTGTTGAAACGTTAGTGACTGTGTTCACCCGTATGATCATACTCAACCTACTTATGTTTTTGTATAGTTGGCAAAGACGAGGGCCAGGGAATTAATCTGGTCCTAGCTGGATACAGATGTTCTCAAAGGCTTTTCCATGTATTCCCCCCAAAGCTCTAAGAATGTGAACTGCAAATCTTCTGAGATGGTGCTTCTTTCACATTATGCTGGCAATTTTCATTGTAATTAAAACAGCAATGTAAATTATTAAAATGTTAATTTTCTTTGTAATAATTTATAATTATAATTTATAATCATAAAATTATCGTTGTGGCTCTCCTTACTTTCCCCCTCCCCCCCCCCCTTCCCCCACCAGTTACATTTTAGTGAGCAAAATGAAGCAAATCCCGTGCTCTGCTGATTGGTGGCTAGAATGGGCAATCCTGCTTTTGATTTTGCACTTTCTTTCTGCAGGGAGAAAAAACTTATTTTGATCAATAATACACAAAGGTAAATCCCTTTTTAACCAGTCTTGCTCGGACCGGATGGGGGAATGGATAATGGCCTTGTTCTTATCGTGTTTGTTTGTTTGTTTGTTGCTGTGGAGCAAGATGAAAAAACTTGGCCAACACATCCAGCCATCTCAGTTGACCTATCACTTAAGTCAGAAACACGTCCTATTTGTTGTTGCTCGTTTTTGTTGTTGTTGTTGGTTTTTTTTTGGTTAAGATTTATCTTTGTCATCATTGCTGTAGGAATCGGAGGATGAGTGGGTGGAAAAAGGACAAGACCCAACAGCAGCCAACACAGAGAGCAAAGAGAGCTCTTCTTCAGGTCAACCTCAGGTAAAAGTCTATACTCCATATACATGTGGAGGGGGACATTGGGGGTACCCAATACCGTAATACCGTAAGAAAAATTGGTATTGGTAAATACTGAAATAGCGTGTCGGCAATGGACAAAATATCGATACTGCATATATGATCGGTCATGCTTACTTAAAGTTGTATCCATCTTGCTTGTTTGTTGATCCTAAGCGTGTATGCGTCAGCAATTGAATAGCGCGAGAAAACGTGATAAGACCTCGAGTTGATCGGTACAACGATAAAAAAAACCTGGACATTGGATGCTCTACCAATTTCATCATAGATTAACTGTAGTGACAGGAGAGCGCAAATGAACCGTGCCGCAGTACCGTGAAGGATCTTCTTATACCGAATACCGTTAGCCGAAAGGATGAAAAACCGCACCCCACAGGGATCGGTGATACCGTAATACCGCACATTAAAATTAAAATTACCGAAATAACGCTTGAAAAAAAGCCCAATACCGCAATACCGTAAACCCCCATGTCTCCCTCCATATATTTCACCTTACGCTATCTTTAGTAACATACATGGTGTAACATTATGGCAGGTTGCATCTCATTAAAGGCCAAAAGACATTTTTTTTCCTCCCATTTTTATGGGGAGTTTACCTCTTATCTTGGGGGAACCTTATTCTAATTGTCCACATGTAAAAACAACTACTGATTCAAGATCACTTTCAAAATTACCTTAGAGTGAATTGCTTTAGAATGAACATTGAAAATCTTTTGCTCTTGACAGCAGCGTGACAGTTGGATGCTGTTTCCTCCAATCACATCAAGCGCAGATCAAGCGATGGACGTTGAGGACGAAGAACCTGAAAAAGAGGAGAGTCAAGAGGAGGACAGCAAGTTCAAAGCTCTTTCTTGCATAGATCAAGTGAGCAGTTTGGCTTAAATGTTTCTCAGTGGGTTGAATTTTACATGCATTGTGTTTTTGCCAGTTCACTTGCTACACTGTGTATCCAATACCAACAATTAGTATCCCCGATAGGGTTCTTCAATTCTGTCTTCCCACTCAAAACAGTTCTTGCAATCCCGTAACTTATCTCGATGGTTATTTTCCGTACTCCGTATCCCGTGTATACTTTCAGTTCCAAAAAAATTTTCGCAATCCCGTAACTTATCCCGATGGTTATTTTCCGTACTCCGTATCCCGCGTATACTTTCAGTTCCAAAAAAATTTTCGCAATCCCGTAACTTATCCCGATGGTTATTTTCTGTACTCCGTATCCCGTGTATACTTTCAGTTCCAAAAAAATTCTCGCAATCCCGTAACTTATCCCGATGGTTATTTTCTGTACTCCGTATCCCGTGTATACTTTCAGTTCCAAAAAAATTCTCGCAATCCCGTAACTTATCCCGATGGTTATTTTCCGTACTCCGTATCCCGCGTATACTTTCAGTTCCAAAAAAATTCTCGCAATCCCGTAACTTATCCCGATGGTTATTTTCTGTACTCCGTATCCCGCGTATACTTTCAGTTCCAAAAAAATTCTCGCAATCCCGTTTAATCGAGTAAATACAGTATTCTTGTTGGTCATCGGATAACTGGTCTGACACTGATGATGTCTTTCCGACAAAACCAATATAAAAGACTGTGTAGGATCTGCATTTTGAATTGCGCGTGTGAATTGTCTTTCCATAGTCTTGATTGGTTTGCTAATGCAAATGTGTAAATACAGTTTTGAAGCTTAACAAGGTCATCATCATTTTTGACGGGAACCGAGCAGGGGTGGTGGGAGGCTGCGAGGCCGTGGTGGAAGGCGTGATTCAGGAGGTAAAACGTTTTCACTTAACCCCGTTTGCCTGCTGACCGCTGTCACATACGAGAAATTTGCAAATACTAAACTCGGTATTTAAAACTTTTCTCGTGTTGTCCCTACATCCCAAGTGGGTTATCACGTCGGTAAACCCATACAAAGTGTGATCTATTGCTTTTATAAAATAACTTGAAGTAAAACGGAGTCTTACAGTGTGATTTCTATACCGTAATCAAGTCGTGTCTTCTGTCTTAAGTCATCATAAGCCAATCACGACTCACGATTTATAGCGCCGAACTTTCTCAAAACTCAGTTCAGTCATACAAAAAACAAAAGCACTTCAGAAACGAGTTTTTGCACTCATTACATGAGGACTTATGAAAGCTGTTTTACAGAAAAAGTCAACACATATTCATGTTAATATACACTGGAAGAATACGTTCCTGGTTTGGTTGAAACAGAAGGAAAAGGTTGGACATCAATCTGTTTTGTTGAGTCGATCCGTAATTTCGTGTTGACAGACGGAACTGGCAGCTTTTGTATTTTAGGGCGAAGGAAGAAAATTCGTAACCCTAGCCTGTAGCCACCTTAAACACGTACTATAAAGTACACGGAGATGATTCCATCAAGGCTGACTGTGCTGCGCCTGCGCTACACAAACTGTTTGCTGAACAATAACACGAGACGAAAATCGTTGTTTTACAACGCTTATTGTTTCTTAAATTACAAACAAATTCTCCTCTTCATCACCATTGAAATTGTATGGAAGATGGTGTGGAGAGTGTGCGTTTTGATATTTTTCTTTGTTGCCCTATATGAACAGGGAGATTAAGAGGTGAAAATGAGGATGTTGATGATGTGGAAGACTATAGAAGTAGGCAGCGTTCGGAACCAGCTCTCTGGGATTTTCTGTCCACGAAATTTCCAGCAGTTAAAGGTTTGTTCCATTTGATGTGCATGAAAAATATAAAACGGCAGGTTTTAAAAAGTGGCATTTTATGAAAGATTATAGATAAAAAGCTTGCAGTCAATATCTAGAATAGTGTGAATTTGAAATCAATTTGGAAAATTCTAAGCTGAAACGTTGTGTTTTATCTTTCATTTGGTAATCTTTTCTTGTCATTCTTATGAAGTGTATTTTAAGGTTTAAGTTACACTTGTGTAGATCATGACAAAGATGTGACATCATCAAACGCAAAGCTTGTGGTGTTACTGTGAAGTATTGACATTTATAGTATCACTGTCTTGATCTACTTGTACAATATGGCGCCGACAGTGGAAACTTTGATCTTTCCTTTTTTCTCGCTTTTTTAGCGCTGAAGGTTTTTGGCGCTCCATTGTCTGGACAGTAGCTGTCATCCAATGAACGTACAAGAATTTCTTGACGTGTAAATTTAGAGAATATAATGTATACAGTTGTTTCAAAAAAGGTTGTCGGAGAGAACGGCGAACGGCGAATGTTGAACGGAAGATGCACGACCGAAAGGAACTGTGGTTACGCTATATGATATGCAAAATTCCATACATGTAAGTTGCGTTCGTCTTGCGTGAAAATGATCAATACACCAACTATGAACGTTTGTCTGAGGGTTCTTGACTCCAAAGACAAAAGAATCTCACGTTTTTTTCAACTGAAAGACGTTCCTCGTTTCCTCGTATGAATGGCCTATTGTTTTGGACTTTATATCGCCAGTAACAGGAAATTTAGAAATATAGCGCTAAACTGTTCTTTCAGAAACGCCCCAAAAAAGTGAAGCCTCTGCAACTGAATGCTTAAGAACATGGACAAACCATATAACCCGCCATCGAAGGTCGTCACTAAATGGAGGCGGCATCATTGGCAGCTTAGATAGGTGACTATTTACCATCAATATTCAAAACCCACGGTTCCTTTCGGTCGTACAATCTCCGTTCCACAATTGCCATTCGCCCTTCTCTCTGACAACCTTTTTTAAAATACGTGTACATATTTTTTCATTGAGATTTTAATGCAATGTGACTTTTTGTCATGGTCTCGAAAGGAGACGAATTTACATAAATTGACAATTGTTTTCGAAATGAAATGTTGTTATTTCTGTTGTTGACACCCCCGTCCTTAATTCGTCACGATGCAACATTTGTCTTAACACCTTTACGTTCATAATCTTACAGATACAAAGAACGAAGAGCCTCTGAAGTCAATAGAAAATCAGAAGACTGATGAAGCACAGCAAGAAAGACCGCCCCCTAGACGACCACCTAAACCTGACAATGATTTCAAACCAAGACAGCAGAAGCAAGATCCTAGAGTGGAGAAAAGCGAGAATGCTTCTCCTCCAAGACAACAGCAAGGTGATGGACAGGGTGAATATGCCACCCCCAGAGCAGTGGAGAAACAAAGACAAGAATCGTCAGCGCAGCACAGAGATGGCAGACAACAGGGGAAGCCACAGAGGGAGCCGTATTATAAACAGCAGCAGAACGCTGGGCAGACAAAGGGGAAGGGTTCTAGAAGACATGATCATGATTCCAGACCATAAAATCAGAGCTTACCACCAAGGTTGCAGAAGAAGCAACAACAGCAGCAGCAACAGCGGCAGCATCATCAGCCTTACCAGCATCATAATCAACATCAAACCGAGACAGACGTCAGCAACGATGTGACAGAAACTAACGCTGTGAGCACGCCTTTCGTTGCCCAGGAAGATGATGCTATTATAACATTCAGTGCAGCGTCTGCCCTTCGCCAAGCTGAGTATGTAGAAGAACCGCCTAGTCGAATGTCACCACAAGTGCAGTTTCAAGAACCTCAAGGTGTACCATACAGTGGTCAACAGTTTGCAGGGTCGGGAGGGCAGGGCAAGTGGCAAAGGAATACTGAGCATTACAGGCGGACTAGTTTTACCCCTCCCAACGTTCAGCAACAGCAGCAGCAACACTTGGAGTTCGTGAGCATGGCTATGGAGACCCAGCGTTCCCAGGCCGCACAGTTTGTGATGAGTCAAACACAACCGTACTTGGAACAGGGTGGGCAAGAGCAAGCGGATATGAACTTGGTGCAGGAATATCAATACGCACAGCAAACCCAACCTCCTGTCCAGGCCTACCCAGTGTGTCAACTCCGTCCTGCTCAGATACCTCAACAGCAGATGATGCCACAGCAGGCCATTCCACAGCAACCAGTAGCTGCTCCTATGGCGGCAACACAGGTGTTTATTATTTTTCACTGTTTCCTGTCAGAACGATGGTGTCTTTGAATAGCGTTAGCGTTAATGCTGGAATAAGCACTCTCCGAATCACCGCGCCCCGTTAGCCTATTACTATTTTAATTTAAATTTTACCCCTTTGAATAAGCACTTCTCCCCTCCTTAAAACCCGTTCTTATTGAAAATACGGTATGAAGTATGTTTATCTTTATTGAATGCAGCATCACAACTACGATCACTGGGGAATGACCCAAGTGAGGACATCACACGGTCTATGTCAAAGATGCTGCTCCTCTGACAATAGTGTGTGAGACAGAGTTTGGTCGCAACAGAATGCTCAGGGCTAAGAACATGTAACACACGCGCGCGAACACGAATTTTGGCTATATGCTGAAAGATGCCTTCCAGTTTTTCCTAATGTTCCTGCTTTCGTTCATTTGAGACAAAGAGAAATGCAATCTAAAGGGCGAAATTCTGGAGAATGATATAAGCGCCCCCATTCAAAGAATAATAAGAGCCAACACCTTTGATTTAGCGCGACCCCTCACAAGTAAGATAATCAGTAAATAATCGGATCTGGGCTTAATAAGTAGTCCAACTCAGAGATTGTTTCTATTTATTTTCAGGTTGGTTGGAAGAAGGGAGATCACTGTTTGGCACCTTGGAGAGATGGGCAGGCAAGTGATTTTTTCTTTCCTTTGATTGCTTACCATATTCTAATGGACGACCGCGATATTCATGACCTTTAGTTTTGAAACGAGACTGAATCAGTACGAGGATGGAATTTTGAGCCAACGGTATCTCCGGCATTCTTTAATACTCCTTGCTATCACTGATTGGCACATAGAGAACTTGAGGGATAGGACTAGTATTAATAACAAATGATTATTTGTCACACTTGAACTTGGATTGAAAACTCGTACTTGATCTCGAAGACCTCGGGCAGTGTTCTTTTAATGTTTTTAATGCTGTTATCTTGTATTGAGTTATTTTTTTCTAAGTATTTGAGTGGAGTGCCTCTAAGCTAGCTGGATAAGCTAAGTGCACTTTCCACTACACATGCTTTGTTTTGTTGTTGTTTAGCCTGCGAACAGCAGACGCATTTCCGGTCGTCGCTTCTCTCCCTCTGAAAGTAGGTATTTTTCGGAGGGAGAGAAGCGATGACCGGAAATGCGTCTGCTATTCGCAGCAGGCTAGTTGTTGTTGCGCCCGGATGGAAATTTCAAAATCAAAACCTCCAGGAAAACGAGCACGGTTGGTAGCTAACAAACCGTTCTTTTTGTGTTATTAACTGATAGTTGTATCATGTTATCTGCGAAGCTCTCTTAAGATCTGGATATCGAATGTAAACACAGCAAACGTAAAGGAGATTTATGAGCCCATTAGTTACTTACTGGGACTGTCGAGAACAGCCCCTAATCAGATCTCGAAGAAAACTTAATCTGCGCAGTAGCGATCACAAGAAATTGCGTGCGTGCATGTCTAAATGATTTCGAAAGAATTACGCGATAACCCAGTAGGCGTTACTACGTTATTCAGATATACCGATGTATTATAGCAGTATCCTTGTTTTAGTCTCGTCAGTATTTCGTTCAATCATTTAATTCATCTGATTGCATCCTTGATGCAACCTAATACAGTTTAACCTCTCTACAACAGCCACCTTGGGGACAGAAGAGTGTGGCCGTTGTAGAGTGGTGGCCGTTAGCGGAAGTTCGACTGTTATGCCTCGGTTGTGTTTTTAGAGTTTTTTTGGATGGTCTTTTAGCATGTTGTAGATGAAGTTAATGGGGTGGGGTTCAAAGGACGAAAATTTAACCTCACGGAAGCAAGGAAAATTTGATTGAAAATTAAAAAGAACATACTAAGCCGAGGTGATATGAAGGTGCCTTGGGGACAAGGCTTATTATGAGTTGTTCGTAAATAGGCTCTTTGGGGAACTTGGTCACGTGCTTGGATACCACTTAGCTACGATTCGGTGGATGGTAAGCCATCCAAGTGTTTATTCGGATCACAAAGCTTGCAGTGCGATCGGACGAGACCTTCGTACGTTAATTCAAACTTCTTTAATTACAGAATTAATAAACTAGGATAAATTCGCAGTCGAAGCTTTGCGATGGGAATGAACGTTTGTAAGTTGTATCCTAGACTTGCTCACAAGTCGAGCTCAAAATTTTTCTCAAGCGCTAAGCGCGAACTAGAAATTTGTTATGTTTTCGGTGGCAAAGCGAGAGAGAGAACGCTGGACTACTACCGAAACCGCAAACGAGAAGCGAAGGACTTCGAGAAAGTCGTAGTTGTATCCAAGCACATGACCAAGTTCTACAAAGTGCTCTTTGACAGGGTTACCGGTCGTTTCGATTCAAACTCGTGTCGATAAAAATTTATTCAGCCGACTTGTGAATTGTTTCACGTACTTGGCAAAATGTTTTTCTTGCTTATGCGCAAGCTTTTCTTGAAGTGCAATTTCACTGCTTGACTTTGTATCGAAACGACCGGTTTCCCTTGACAGTAATCAATGTATTTTTATATCTTGGTAGTATTACAGTGCTAAGATGGAGGACCTGATGCCAGACGGTGTCAACTGTGTGGTTTCGTTCTTGGATTTTCATAACAGCTGTGATGTTGTGCCTCTCTCGTCCTTGCGACCTTTTCCTATCATTGCCTGGGTAAGAACTTAAAAACATTCTTTGAAGGCGCATTTACATCACAGAAAGATAACGCCTATTACATTTTCACAAGTAGACCAGAAACTATACCGAGGTGTGGTGACAATATGGTAATGCATTACAATCATTGTTTTATTCCCATTTACCAACAAACATACAAAGCTATCTATTTTGATACAAATTTAATCAGAGCAGACAAAATATGAGTTGCTCCAACTTTATAGGCTCATACCTGAATTGGAACCGATTACTCTTTAGCTTTACTTACAGGATCACTGATGATAACTTTTTGGATTAATTGATTTTGTAAAGTCTTTTATAATATTATACTGTTGAATCTTGCAGTAGGCTGAAGATGAAAAGGAGCGAATCGATTGTTCTGATTGGCTTCGCAAGCGGGGTAGATAGGTCCATTATTTTCCCGCGTTGGAAGCGCAAGAAAAAATTCTCTTTTTTGGCCATTTAATAAACCCTTTATTGACCAAATGATGGCTGGGTATTGGCCTTGTTCTTCTTTGACGTTGTTATTGACCTCGACTTTGTCTCGATCCATAATTGGCTAATATCCAGTCATCTTAACCTAACGTTTCTTCAGTAACGCATATGTCTTTTTCAGGGAGACAGTGGCAATTCACAGCCCCAACCAACAGGAGCTATTGCCACGGTACCTTACTATACACAAGCAACACCCGTCAACATCGTGTCCAGACCCCAGATGGTCATCCCCGTCAGTGGACAGCCTCCATTCCATGCTGGGACCAGACCAACGTTTGTTCACTCGGCCCAAGTCCCACCTCAAGTTCACTGGCAGCCTGCAACGATGCAGTACCAAGAAGTGCGGGCAGCAGCCTTCCAGCCTGTAATGCATTATGGGGCTGTGCCACAGGCATCCGCAGGGGGTCCTGGTCAGGCACCTTATGGAGTCCCTACCGGAGGTGGTATGCATTACGTCAGAGGCGTCAAGGATATCCAAGGACAAGGTGTGAGAGACTGGAACAGCAAACACAGATTATTATTATATCTGCAAAATAGCTACAATTACAGTAATGCCCTTTGATGTTTTATGTGATGCTAGAGGCTACATACTATTTATTCTCGAACTAGCGTCCTCCTTCAAATAAGTGCCTCGTCTGAATTAGCTTCCCCGGTCCTTCTGAGGCTAAAAACATTGATTTAGCACCAAAGGGACTTCTCACTCACTCACTCAGCTTAATACTGTAGCGGCGTTTTTTGGTGACTGCCAATTATTCAGCTTTGCCCGCAGTCCAAATCTCCAGGGCCGGGTTGTTTGAACCTGCGTTAAGATAACCCAGGGTTAGTGCAAAATTTGAACTCAGATATGAGAGCTTAAAAAACAAATTCAGTTTAATTCTCTTTGCCTACAATTTGATGATTGGATACTCTTAAAAGAATACAGAAATTATCCGAGAGAGTGCTTTTGATAAAAAGAAAAAGAAATCCGGGTTAAAATTTAACCCCGGGTTAGCGCTAACCGGCGTTCGAACAACTGGGCCCAGGGTGGTATTAAGCATGCGCGGCACTCATGTAGTTAGCATTTGCTCGGGCTCCCACTAAAGATAAATGGTATGCAAAAAGCGCTCCAACTTCCGCGCGTAAATTCGATCGGAACCGCTTGCTACGCAGGCTATCATTAGCATACTTGGAATGTCTGTGTTTGTTCCGCTTTCTTACAGATGTGTACAGCAGTAACCCTGAAGGTGGAAGAGGAAGATCCAGTCCAACTTCAAGTGGTTATTCCAAACCAAGAAGACCGAACAGAGCAACCCAGAGTTATTATGTACCGCCAAGACAACAAAAATACAAAGACAAAGGATAACAAAAAGACCATGGTAATTGTTGTCGATCTTGTGCAATAAATTAAGTGTACCTTAGTTCCGGCAGGGCTAAAATACAGGTCACTTTTCCACAAGTCAGAGTACAAGTCACCACGATACAGATAAATGAAGAGCATTAAACAGCATTAACAGTGTCTCCTGACACTTTTCTCTTAACAAAATGCTCTATTAGATCGAGGAGAATCTGTGTGGTTTGTTAATTTATCGATGGAGCAGTGACCTGTACTCTTGACCTGTGGAATGTGACTTGTACTTTAGACCCGCTGCCTTAGCCCTGCTTATAGTAATCTGGCAAAGACGATACACGCCAACTGCGTAGAAGGTTTACGCTTTTTGAATTTTAAAAACTAGATAAGCCCCTCTTTTAAACCCTGTCTACACTAGGGCGTTTTTGCTTGAAAACGCGTGCGCTGTAACTCGTTTTTGCTGTGCGCCCAAACTAAAATAGGCAATAATCGAGGTTTTCGAAAACAAATCTTTTTGAAAGCGGGGGTTTTTTGAAGACGTTCTCAAAGGGAGACGTTTGAAAACAGGCATGTATCGTTTTAGTTTGGACGAGTGAAATGGAAAGTTTTCAAAAATCCTGACGTTATAGCTACCTCACGACCCGTATTCGTCCATGACCAGGCATTACAACGGTGGAAACTGAAACCAACAAGTTCGTTAATAGCCAAGCGTAAGTGGTAGGTGCCGGTTTCTTTTTGGTTAATTTTTATAGAGTACGCGAGGACGTTTTCGATGGCTTTTAAACGATGTGAAAACGCTTTTATGGACGTATAGCGTTTGATGCGTTTCTGTTAATGCGAAAACGCTTTAGTTTGACAGGGCTTTAGTACATTATTTATATCAGGAAAGGTAGTATTTGTAGTATTTTATGTGCATAAGTCCGATTTCTTGGTTTTGCAGCGGAGCATCTCCTTAAAGAGAACAAAAGGGAAGGGAGGGGTGGGATGGTAGTTTCCCAGAATCCATACTGATCTTTTTTGGATTGGTACAAGATTCTTTGGATTTTAAGAAAGAATGCAAATCTTTCGGTTGATCTTAAAGAAAACAGAAAAAATTCCTTTAGAGTAAAAATATGAAAATATTTTGATCGTAAAAGTTTCATTAAATGTTTCTTTATAAGAAGAACAAATTATGGTGGGAATTTACGACGTTTGAACGATGTTTTGAAAATGTATTTTTGTCCTCCATTTTGTTGCTGTAAAGTTTGTCTCCGGCTTAGCGGATGAATACAAACTCCATTTTTATTTTAAACATTATTTTGCTCAAAAGTCGGTTATCAGAAGCCCTAAATTGTCCCTTTTTTGATATGATTGGCCTAACGTAGAATGTTGGATGTCTGCTTTTACAAATTAATTTAAGACTACTAGAACGTGCTTATCGTCTGGCAAGTGTTATCTTCTTTTAGTAGATCCCTTACGAAACTACGACGGCAAAGGCAACATCAAAAAGCAATAGGTTTAGATAACAAAACACCAACTCTGCACGTGCATCACGCTTTTTGTACATTTCTTTGCCGTCCGTGCACAACTACGATGTGAGGACGGGAACGGCAAGGCGATAAATCCTACCATCTCTGTCTGAACTCGGGTGCGGCCCCCTCTCTTTAGCTTCAACCTAAATTCCCTTCTTTTAAGTAACAGGGCGACTTGGGAAAATCGCGAAATGGTTTGAAAGAATGCGGAGTCCATTTGTTAGTGACGTTTTCATGGACGTCGCCGTCGTCGGATCGTCAGGTCCCTAATGGCAAACCAAGCTATTGCGCCTTATTCACTCTTTTTGCTTTAAGCTTTTCTCGTGTTATCCCAGGATCTTGTTTGGTTAATCGTCGAACTTCACATATGACCACATATTACGAACCCAATGCTAATGAACAAAATCTATTGTTTTCGCTCATAAGCATTGGGTTATTATTATTATAGCCTTTATTTTACGAGGGTGACACCAATTACTATGCAAAGTATTCTCCTAGTGGCCCCCTAAAAACAGAATTGATAATAATAAATTACAACAATTCATGCCATGAAAACTCTGACGATGGACTCTGACCTTAGTTACATAATTTTAATCGCCTCGTGATTAGTAGAGGGGACAGGTTATGAATACCCTGGGTGCCAGAGACTTTTCTAGCGCGGTTTCCGGTTTCTGTCAAGTCTTTATTGTGACCCGCGCGTTTTTCTCGCGGCTTCGCCGTTCGTAGCTTCGGCCTACTGCCGAAGATGTGTCGGCCTTCAGCCAACACCGAAAATTCCCACCGCACGCGAGAAAAACCTCTGGTACCCAGGGTAGGTTATGAAAGGTGGCAACACCAAACAAAGAAACAAAGGTGCTGCAGCCCCTCGGAGATTGCCAAGTCCTTTTGGACCTTCCTCCCCCCTCCCCTCGGAATTTCCGTTGTCCTTCGTGAGGGGGGCTTGTTGGGGGGAAGGGGGACGGGGGTTTATGGATAATTTCTGGAACTATACACATTTTTCTTTTGTCTGAGCAAAATGGTTGACTTACTGCTGAGCGCTTGTCTGCGTGGCCTATATAGCAAACACACTTAACTCGGTTTCCGTCGGCGCAAGTCTCTATTTGAATCGAAATGATTTAAGAGGAAATATTTCTAACTAGTTAAATATTTCTTCAGAAGTTAAATATTTATTGGTAAAAAAATTCTGACACGGTTGTTCTTCCATGTATGGAAATTTCAAAAGCTATCGAATACGCACCATTGAGTCAAATAGAAAGATTTTACAAAGAAAAACGAAGTTGATTAGAAAATGATCCCTGTATTCTATGTTCGGGAATCAAAACTTCCTGGCGAAATTTTATCGCTTTATTTATCACTCCTTTTTGTTTGTTTTGTTTTTCGTATGTAAAGAAAATAGATCAAGGTTAAATACAAACATTAATGCTCAAAGGTTTTGTTTAAGGCACAATCAACCTCAGCCCGCTAATTTGTTGTTCAAGATTCAGTTCCTTCAGCGCGTCTCTCTTTAGGCCACTTCCGAGTTCCAGAAACCCCCTTTTTCAAAATGAGGCCAATCAAGTGCATAACCTTTCTCTTGAAAATGAGTTTTATTTGCATGAGGGTGAAAATCATTTCCATATCAAACACTGACCACTAACACTAACTTCGTTTTGATACAGAGGCCCGGGGGAACTCGGGAATGGCCAATTACAACCGATGATAATTATATGAAAGGGTTAGACTAAAAACAAAACTGTGTAATACATTGCAAAAAATGGCTTTTTTCAACTGAGTTGACAGAGTCAGTTTGCCTCCGTTTAATTGTCTGTTTAATCGCGGGTTTAAATAATTTAATGTTATATTCGCAGTATAGGTCTCTAGAACAACCTGTTAAGTGGTTATCTATGTTATGCATATTATGATTGTCATTTGTGAGTTCGTTGATTTCTGTTTCTGTTTACGTCAGTACGATGGGAGAAGGAAAGAAAGACTCTTTTCAAAACCTTTCTTGGTTCTTCTATTGATGAATTTGCCAGAGGTCACCTGATTTGGTTTTAGTTCAGGGCCATTCAACTTTAATATAATACATTATTAGATCTAACTACAATAGTTTATTATTACTTTTCTTGAAAAATGTTTACTGATATTTTCAATTATTTCCTTTTTTTTTCAAATTAATGTTCCTTTTTTCTCGTTATTTTTGTCTTGTTTCAGTAAAAGCGACGTAGTTACTGTGGGAATCTTTCCTCTGTATTTAGATTTATATTTATTGTCTGTAAAATTAATAGCAATAGTAATAATAATAGTAATAGTATAAAAATAAAGCAACATTTTATTGTTGAAACTTTAAAAAATGTGACTACTTAAATCAACTTGAGCCCTTCTTTTAAGCAACTCTTAATTTTACAGCTTAGACAATTTTTATTGCTTTTTAATGAATTTGTATTCTTTGCGAAAACTTATTTAAGCAATTCTACTGATTAAAGCTCTCGCAAAATTTCACCACGTTTATTGACCATCAGGTCAATAAACGGGTAGGGATATTTAAAACTTGATGCATATGAAAGGATAGGAAAATCTGTCATTTAGAACTTGTCTGGTCATTGCGAGAGCTGAAGAGCTGAATAAATGTAATGATTTTCGGTTAACATCTTTTCCGGTAAGTCTTGTTGCTTGCTCTATCATTTACTAACGCCATTTCAAGGAATCCGAAGCGGGCCGGAATCCTAATCTCCTGGTTGTTATTACGCATGCGTTGCGTGTATGTTACTATTGTAGTTTGATTTTATCCTTGATTTAAATTTTATTTTCTTTTGTTTTGGGGTATGTTAATGTATGATAATGAGATTGAAACAAAAGAAAAAAAAATTTAAACCAAGGATAAAACAAACCACAACATAACCAGCCTTCGTTTGGAGTTGCACTAAGAATGAATGCATTGCACAGAAAACAATCTGATCACGCGCGTTTTAGCCTGCGTTACATCCGGCCCACGCACTCGTCTAAACCGTTTGTATAGCTCTATATAGAACGTTTAGAGCGTCTGCGACTCAGGCTAGCACGTTTGGACCTTCTATTAATCGTAACATTTTGATCTTCTATCACGTGAAGCCCCCGCGTTAGGGAAATTAGCGTTTTGACCTTCGAACAACCAGAAAGTCGCCCGCAGTAACCAACCTTTGGTTATTACAAGTACGTTATATCAAAGGGGTATGCTCCTGTCTAGCTGTTTAAGCCTTGATAACACTTTGGCCATGAAGTTGGCTAATTATGCGGAAGATACGACCCTTTCTCTGTACGTTTCGTCCCACTGATGATCTTAGATTCATCAAAGAATGAAAAAGTGGTTCTGGAAAAATTAGAATCTGACTACTTTTTGTAGAATCTATACCTAGCCGATTTTTTGAAAACAAACATAGCGAAATTTGCCGTCATTTGGGCGAAAAGGCGTCAAAAGGCAGGTTTCTTGAGCCGATAAGCTCCAAAATCACAGTGACGAAGGAAAAGGAAAGGAAAACAAGAAAG